TGTAATTTAACCAAAAATCAATGCGCCAAATCACCCATAAATATTCCATTTAAATGATCCAAGCTGAGGTCTTTGACAGACCAAAATAATAATAATAGCTTTTAAGAATACTTTTATTTTATTTTTTATTTTTTTACATTCACTTAACTTAGATATATTTAAAAGTAAAATATTTATGATTTTTTTTAAAAATTCATTAAATACAAATAATATAAAAATATAAAAAAATATATGAAAAATGAATACATTTTTGTTTTTCTCATATTACCCATATTGAGTTATGTATATGTGGCTATTATACCATACTATTGTTACCAATTCATGGACTACATGTGTAATTCGTTTGAGAACTTGACTATTTTAGTTGACTTTTTAATTATTTAACTATTTTAGCCTAACTAAAAAGGTTGTGTTTGGGATGATACTTGGTGTTTTTTTATTCTTATTTTTATTTTTTTAGGTGATTTGATAATTGTGAAAACAAAATAATTACAATTTAAATGTAATATTTTATCTTATTAAATGTGTATTTTACTTTTATTAATTATTTTAGTAAAAAAAAAAGCCATTACCAAACAGGGCCATTGTGCAAAACTTTTCCCTGGGATAGCTTATTGGGTCTCGTTCTTACCAGGGAACAGGAAAGGGAAGATGTTTGTGTGGGAGCTCCAAACAAGCGCCCCTGTTCTCATTGCTAGGCTTGTTTTCTTTGCTTCATCAAATTTCTTTACTAGAAACCAAGCATTTCTTTACCCAAATTGGAGTTGAGGCTCTTAAGAATTTCATGCACAAATTTTTTTCCCTTTTCAGATTGTCTCATATTTAGTCAAAATCTCCAATTAGATAGAATGCCATGTCCTTTAATGGAAGGTAAATTCCCAATAAATTTTCTATCTGGGGATGTTAGTACATTTAGAATATATTGTGCGAGGGTGTGATCAAATCTGTATGTTGCATTGTAGCACCATTCTCAGTGTTAATATTATACTGTTAATATAATACTATATAATACTATATATATATATATCATTGTTAATACTATATATGATAGTGTGAATATATTAAATATAATATCGACAGAGGCTTTCGGCTGCTTTCGGCGCCTCCTCCTTTCGGCGTCCCTTTTATTATTTTATTACATTCCATCATCATGATGTCTTGTATCAGAACTCCTATATAATGGAGTCTCTAATTTTGTTTCAGACAGAGTGTTAATAATACAGAAACCTCTTTCAATATTACTCTCTCAATTCTCTCAATTTCTCTTTCACTCAGTAATAGTGAAGCCTGATCGTTACATGTTATGGTTCATTATGAGATTGAGTTGGTAAGATTTAATTGAATGTTATGGAGAAAAGAAATTCATTCTTTTGCAAATTTACTAGGGAAAATTGCTCGACATCACCACTAGAGACAATCTTTACTACACCCAACCAAGCGTCCATAACTGGAGAACAATTTTACTTGCATCCTTATAAATTTGTAATTATTTTTCCTACTTCCACTGATTTGAGAAAGCTCCGGTTATGGAGTTTTTACTCTTTTTGTACTTTCTCATTTGGAGAATTTTACTGTACACTACTTACGAGGTGTGTAAAATATGCACCATGTTATGTAATTTAGGATGGTGGCGGAGGAGTGAGAATCAAAAGGGTGAGAAGTTAACTGGTTCAGCCGCACTCTTTAAAAGATGTGTAATATCATATGTATCTTGTTACATAATTTAGGGTGGTGGAGTACGGAGTTGAGTTGGTACCTATTTTTCACCCATTAAATAAATTGACCATCAAAATTAAATGCTAGGAAAGAACTACTATACACCTCTTGAAAAGGTGCATACTATATGCATTGTCACTTTTAGCCATTAGATCTTTAAAAAATGAATTTAAGTCATTAAATTGACTTATAACCATCGCCATTGTGGGTTGTAACCAAACACTACTTAGTTTATAACAAAGAACCACCACTATGAATCTTAACAAAAAGACCACTATGGGTCATAATCAAATATTACTAAATTTATAACTTATTTTGATTTGACACAAATGGCCTCACAAGTCAAAACTACTTCAAATCATAATGTTGCATAACAAAATACCAATAAAATCATAATCAAAGGCCACTAGAGATATAAGCGGGTGTAAATAAACTTGTCAAATGTTATACATACAATAGCTAAGGGTATGTACCGAAATAGTGGGCAGAACAAATTTTACATTTTAGTTAATTTAATTATCAATTACTACTAAAAATTATATATCTCCAGCCAGGATTGAAAACTAAAGCATGCACAATAGTTTGACTTAATAAAGGAACATAAGTAATAAAGAGCTTGATTAGTAACTACACAACTTGAACACTTCTAAATCTATCTTATTATTATTATTAATTGCTTGTTTAACTGAATAGATTGTGTTGTTATAAGATATTTGTGCACATAAACATAGTAAAGGAAGATATATAATAAAAGAATATGTAGCATCAGTAGTATTCTGTCATGACCAAACACGCCCCTATGGGTTTAGCACTGTAACCGGCCAGTAATCTGAGATTACCGAAGGCCTACTTAACAGTAAAATAGTAATACAGAGTACAGGGGCTGGCCGAACCAAAACAGTAATTAAGAGATGTCCAATGAGCTGTGACTGTCTGTATGCAAAAAGACTTTTCATATCATATACACATTCAGAACAAAACAGTACATACGTACATCATACACAGATATTCAGGTTAGGGACCAGATCCCTACCATAACAGTACAGTACGATATCATTCAGTCTATACAGTAATTACAAAACAGATACAAAAAGGGGGAAACTAAAACACCCCAAAAGCCCTATAGCTTGAAGGACTTGAAACCTCTCTGTGAGGCACAGTGGTTGGCTCGACAAAACTGGAGTTTGCCCTGACGCTTCTAGCAATGGTCCGGTGCCTGTACACCTATATATATATATGAACAGTGAGCTAAAGCCCAGTGAATAACATATGCGTAAAGAGGTTAAGAATGAATGTCTTTTCAGTATTGAAAACAGTCAGTTATCAGTATAACAGTCGTTCAGTTTGTGGCTCATAAATAATGCCATACAGTAAGTCAGAAACTATAATAGTCATATGTGGGACACCCAATAGCAAAACAGTACAGTAAGTCTTAACGGACCGAACAGTCAATGATGACCATCATATCAGTAAACGGTAGTGGTTCCAAACATGGGAACCGACAGAGATCTCTGTAACAGTAGCAGTAACAGTTCAGTAATAGTATATTGCTATGGATGCCACGAATACAGTTCACAAATAGGACAAACATTCATTCAGTAAACAGTGTCATTTCATAAAGTAGTACAGTCATTTGTCCAGAAAATAATCTCGATTGAACATATTTTTACAACATTGTTACTCATAGAGTTCTGGGCTACAGATACGCTAGTACGCGTCCTCGGATGCCAACCCTACACAGTTACAGAACGAACATACACTAAGCTACACAGTTGGGAAATAATAACTTAATCCCTAATTTGTCTCGGTGTGGTTCTACATCAATATCCTCATTAAGATGCCTTAAACTAGGCCTAGGAATGTCTAGGATGGAATGAGGATACAAAGATACACTTTAAAAATATTTTCAAAATTTTCAGAAAACAGAGGTCCCGCTCGAGCGGACATGCAAACAAAAGTCTCCGCTCGAGTGTAAACTTTCCCGCTCAAGCGGACTGCAAAAGTACTGGATGTGTGAAATCACGCTCGATGGGCGCTCGATACCCGCTCGAGCGTGTGACACAAGTTCTCGCTCGAGCGTGCAAAACCCTGCTCGAGCGGACTGTAAACACAACAAAAGTGCTGGATACACGAATTTCCCACTTGAGCGCCACTTACCCCGCTCGAGCGGGAGTCCAAAATCTGAAATTTTCAGATTTGAACCTCAAGCTCAAAACTAAATTCTAATGCATCAAATTCGATCCTTTTGGGCTAATTTTCTAGAAAACACTTTAAAACTCATAAAGTAACATGATTCAAAGCTCAATTTGTAAAATCAAGGCCCAAATGTGAGTCAATTAAACCCAACTTCAAACCAAACTTCAAGAACATACTTCAAATGTAACATGTATGTGTTCAATCAAATTCAAAGCTTCAATTACTTGCTCAAATGAGCTCAATTGTCTCAAAAACAAGATGAATTCATGGACTACGCTCAAGATATGAACATGCATGTGGAATTTCATGAAGAACAATCTCAAAATGTAAAACCATGTACATGCATGCATGGATTAAGCTCAAATTCAACATTATTAGACTAACTCAAGACTCAATTCATCCATAAATCAAGAACCATGCAAGAACTAACTTGAATACATTAATGAGAGGTTGAATATCCTACCTTGGGTTCTCAATTACAAGTCTAGAAGCTCAATTTGCCAATTATCTTCCAAAATCCCTAAGACTCCAAGCAAATCAAGATGAAACCAAGTTTTTCTCCTAGCTCTCTCTCTCTAGTCGATTTGGTGCAAGCAAATGAACTGAAGAAATGATGTATCTAATGTATAATTCAAGCCTCAATATAATATGAAGTGGGCCACTAAGTGGCAAAGTTGTAAATAAGGTCAACTCTTGTAATTTAACCTATTTAATCTAATTTAATCATACTAAATCACATTTCAATTAAATATACCATAAAATCATATAAATCTTAATTAGCACAAAAATCAATCAATTTCAGATTCGGCCGCCGATAAGGCCTTCAATTTACAGTTTAAAGCATAAAACATGAACAGATAATTTAACAGTCAACAGATAGAATTGCATTCAACCTAGTACAATCAATCAATCAGTTTAGTAATTCAGTCAGTTAGTCAATCAACATGCTTAATCAGTAAATAGTGGTGAGGGTTGTTATATATTCTTGACAAACAAAATATATATATATAGAAAGATAAGGCAGGCAAGAAGCAAGAGCTGTTCAACCATTTCATCAAGAAAATGGTGAAAATTCAGCCAAACAGAAAACTATTATTTATTGATTACAACAACATCGAAATTTATCATTACATACACTGGCAAACTATTTGCACATTTACTATAAGAGAGGAAATTATTAAAATTACATAACTTCATTAATAGATTATATATATATATATATAAGCAACAATTAATTATATACTAAGATATCCTTCAAATAAAAATATTATTGCAATCACATGGTCTATTCAGTAGAACTGCTAATCCTTGATCTCCAACAGAAGATGATGCTGGTACGTTATTAATGAACTTCTATAGATGACATCCATTAGTACGTAGTTGGACATGGAGGGATTGATATATCAGTAATGCCTTCAAGCATCAGAACTACACTTTTCATGGAAGGACGGAGAGCTGGTTCATCTTGAATACACCAGAGTCCCACTTTAACCATGTTCTCGAGTGTCTTCATGTCAACTTCTTCATCACCCACAACAGTAAGCTTGTTCAACTCCCTCCCAGCAAAGCACCTATAGACCCAATTAGAGAGAACCACCTCTTCTGGTGTTGATACATTAACTTCCAAGTTTCTTCTGCAACAAACAATTTCCAACAACACTATCCCATAACTGTAAACATCAGCCTTGACCGATATGGGGTTGTTTCTCTGCCATTCTGGAGCCAAATATCCCCTAGTCCCCCTAACTCCTGTAAAGGTCCTCGTTTGATCAGGCATCAACAACTTGGCCAACCCGAAGTCGGAGATTTTTGCCTTCCAAAATTCATCCATCAATATGTTTTGAGGCTTTATATCGCAATGAATTATAGGAGTCTCACACTCTTCATGTAGATAGAGGATCCCTCTCGCGACATTGAGGGCGATTCTGATTCTCTCTTTCCAATCCGGGCGCCTTGTAGATTTGAAAAGAAGATCTGCAAGAGAGCCATTGCTCATGTACTCGTAAACCAAAAGCCTTTTAGAACCCTCAATACAGTATCCAAGCAACCGGACTAAGTTTCTGTGGTGCCTTATCCCGTGTTAATGTACACTAAACCTAACCCACTAACCTAACCCACTACATCCACCCCACTAAACCTAACATACTTACCATCTCCACTACCACCCACCACCTCCACTACCATCCACTACCACCACTCACTTACCTCACATCTCTCCTATATAATAGCTTGTAACATACAATACAGAAACAATACATCAATCTTGTAATATACACAAATCAATAATAATACATCAATTTATCCCGATTGCTCGCATCTCTGCCTGAAACTCTCTTTCACCTTCTTCCACAACCTTCTCAAGTCTCTTCACTGCAATCAACATCTTTCCTTTGTACAAAGTGCCTTTGTAAACTGCTCCGAATGACCCCTTTCCCAGCTCTTCTTTGAACCCATTGGTTGCTTTTTTGAGCTCACTGTATGAAAACAATTGCATGGTGAGCTTCTCTGTAATGCAGGAGTTTCCATATTGCAACAACCTTTTGTACTTCAAAACTCTAAATTTGTAAACGTATATCCCAGAGATGGCAAGAGCAGCACATGAACTTGTAAGTAAACCCATAGTTACAAGTATTAGCATTACTGTGTTTCTGCTCTTCACCAAAACTAGTGGTGGCTGCGGTGTTGGCTTCATGAACTGAGGAGTTGTCCCATTCTCGCTTTTGATGACACTCGCTGTGCCCACCTTAAAGAAAACCTTGGATGGAGTTGTATCTCTTCTGACATATCTAAGTGGAAGACTATGTTTCGAGCAATACTTAACCACGTACTGAGCTACTTCGCAATTGCAATCTTCCAAACAAGACGTCATGCAATCTTCTATAGACATTGATTCATATGCATACGGAACATCAGCCAACATCATATTGTCCATGGTAGTAATGTTAAATGAGGTGGTGTTTTCTATCCCACCCTTGCAACTTTCCTGCGAGAAGTTTCTGCCACAACCAAGAGACCGCTGGTTGGGATCAATGAAATCAGTACCAGGAAGACAAATGCAGTATGGCTGGTAGTCATCTAATGTGCAGTAACTGTTTGAGCCACAAAAACCCTTCACTTGGCATGGATTGTCAGGTGCTTTCCACTCAATTGAAATCTGGTTTTCACCAGTACTCTCATCGAATTTATGAGAGTACAATTTGAAAACTCCATCGAAATCAAGTGTTGCACGATAAATGATCGTGTTGCTGTTGTTGTTGTTAGCAGACAAGATTCGGATCATATCCAAACTAGTGCTGTTTATGATAGCCAGAATGCCTGAATGATTGAGGTAAAGGAAATCGGGGGCCTTCTGCCAAGTGTTCGAGTCCCAGTAACCATCTATTATTGTTTCTTCAGTGTTTAGTGCGTACCAAACAAGGTCCCCATCATCCTGCATCTTGAGTTGATACCGCCCGGTTGAGCTGTCAGTGTTTGATACACTAGAGACCAGCGTCCCACCGATTGACAGGTTCTGTCCTCCTAGAATGGTGTCAGTGGGAAAAGCAAAAGTTTCCCAAATGATTTCGGAGTCATTGTTGTACAGAACAAAATTTCCAGAATCGAGCATGGAGGCAGAGGCTGCAGAGGCCAGAGTCTTTGCTATTTGTTTCTTTTCTCGGTGCTCTGTTCTCAGAACAAGTTTCCCATCCCTGGTGAGCTCGAGGGTCGAACCGAAGGTGATTGGTGGATCATCTCTATTTGCCGTCCATACAACTGTTTTGCAGTGATTGAGCCAAATTCCGACCTTAAAGCCGATATCTTGTGTGTAGAAACCAAATGCAAATAGGCCCGAGGGAGAGGACCATGACGTGGGAGTATTTGTGGAAGAAAGTGAAGAGCCTAAACTAATCACTATCTTGCTTGAATGATTTTGTTGGGATTCCACAGTTACACACACTAGGAATATGAGTATTGAGAAAATAGAAAATCACGAACCCATGAGAGGACTTGAAGGAAAACAGGAGCTCTTCATAAGTTTGTTGTTAACAAACAAATTTAGGTGAAGGGTTAGAAGATATTGAGAAAAATACAACAGGAGGACAACAATGAAAATACTCGCGTGATGAAGAATATAATAAAAAAAACGTAAATGAAGATGTTGAAATTGCACAACAAAAAGATAACAACGAAAATATTCATCTTGATAATCATATATTTGATATTACCCAAGTAAGATTAACTATTTTATTTATTTATTTATTTATTTATTGAAGTAAGATTTACTGGATCAATCATATATCAATTGAAAATGATGTATTTGAAGAAATTTCTAGCATTATTAGTCTTCAGTACTAATCAAGTTCTCAACCTTGAAATCCTCAGTCCTGTTCATTTCTCAACTTTATCTTGGAATAGAAATTTCCTTGCCAAGTTGGATGCTCAGAAATTTCTCATTTCTTTGCTGTCTTTTCTCTGAAATTTCTTTGTCAGCCTCACTGTCTGTGTCCAAGCATTGTTGAAAAACTTTTCTTCTTCTCAACCTTCTGTGACAGTTTAGTAGAAATTCCTTCATCAAGCTGGACACACCTGACCTAGGTGCAAAAATTTCTCCATTGACTGACTTGAGCATTCGCTTGAGCATGAAAGCCTTCAGTATCACCTCATCATCAAGAGAAAGTTCGCTCAATATCATGTTGTTACACATTTTTATGACAAATGTTGCGTAATCTTTTGGTAGAATTATGACAATTTGAGATTCAGAAATGAAAAATGCATAATATTACCATAAACATTTGTGGTTCATAAATGTCTCCACGAAAAAATGCACAATATTATCACAAAAATGCGCAATTTCAATTTTGAACCATATATTATCGTTATTCTATCAAAAGATTACATAACATTTGTCATGAAAATGCGTGACAAAGTGTATGTTACAATGCAAAACCCTTATATATATATATATAGGCTACAAAATTTTATCAAAATAGGAAGCTAAATCATAATCTAAACTCCTAATAAATAACTCAATTAACATAGGACACTAATAAATCTTAATAGAATAGAAAAGCTAATATTAATAAAAATTCTAACTAAAATAAAACTCTAATTAAACTATAATTTAAAATAAATTATAAAATAAAATAATAAATACAAAATCTCCATGTGGTGTATGTATTGAAGGGTTCCTGCATAGTTTTAACTTGAGTAATGTTATACATAAAAAAAATTTCACAAAATTTCTTTATCACCAGAGACAAAGAAAATAGGATCCACATTAATAAATAAATGTGCGACCCATGTTTTTGTGTCACTACAGGAAATGACACTTTTGGCGACCAAAATATTGGTCGCCAAAAGCCCTATTTTTGGTCGCCGAAACAAATTAGCGACTAATTTTTTTGGTCGCCAAAGTCGTCGCCTATGCTCTGTCGGCGATAGTATTGGCGACTAAACTATTTTTGGTCGCTGAAAGTGAACGTTTTGGCTACTAAAGTCTGGTTAGTCGGCAAAGGTTATCTTTTGGCGACTAAAATATTAGTCGCCAAAACTGAACATTTGGCTACTAAAGTCTGGTTAGTCAGCAAAGGTTATCTTTTGGCGACTAAAATATTAGTCGCCAAAACTGAACATTTGGCTACTAAAGTCTGGTTAGTCAGCAAAGGTTATCTTTTGGCGACTAAAATATTAGTCGCCAAAACTGAACATTTGGCTACTAAAGTCTGGTTAGTCAGCAAAGGTTATCTTTTGGCGACTAAAATATTAGTCGCCAAAACTGAACATTTGGCTACTAAAGTCTGGTTAGTCAGCAAAGGTTATCTTTTGGCGACTAAAATATTAGTCGCCAAAACTGAACATTTGGCTACTAAAGTCTGGTTAGTCAGCAAAGGTTATCTTTTGGCGACTAAAATATTAGTCGCCAAAACTGAACATTTGGCTACTAAAGTCTGGTTAGTCAGCAAAGGTTATCTTTTGGCGACTAAAATATTAGTCGCCAAAACTGAACATTTGGCTACTAAAGTCTGGTTAGTCAGCAAAGAAAAGTTTTTCTTTCTAGACATGTTATTTTTGATGAGACTGTCTTTCCTTTTGTCTCTCATTCTTCTCTACTTCCTTCTACTGTTCCTTCTTTATCTCAACTTCATGATTTCTTTTGGCCACCTCATTCCAGCTCCTCTTCTCTGTCTCCTTCTTCTCCTCCTAGTTCTAAGTCTACTGTTTTCAGTCCAGCTGTCGCTGCTCCTGTGGCTATTCCTTCTCCTGCTCCTGTTATTTCTGGTTCTGTTCCTGCTGCATCTGCTGGTGCTGCTGTCTCTCCAGCTGGTGCTGCTCCTCTGGATCCTTCTAGCACTGTTTTTCCTGTGTCTGTTTCTTCTCCTGCTATGCCTACAGCTGCTCCTCTCCTTTCAGCTCCTGATCTTTCAAACTCCTCCCTTCCTATTGATTCTGTCCACATTGATTTCAGTTCTTATGCTCCGTTAGCTTCTTCTCTTAACACTCATCCCATGCTTACTCGGTCTAAGCATAAGTTTCCCATTCATTTGACTGTTTCTTCTGCTCCTGATTCTTCTCTAATTGAACCTTCCACTTGGTCTACTGCTCTTACTATCCCTGCTTGGGCTGCTGCTATGTCTGAAGAATTTACAGCTCTTCAACGCCAAGCTACTTGGGTTTTGGTTCCTCCTCCTAGTCACAAACATGTTATTGGCTGCAAATGGGTTTTTCGTCTCAAGAAAAACTCTGATGGCTCTGTTGCTCGTCATAAAGCTCGTTTGGTTGCTAAGGGATATCTTCAGGAGGAAGGTCTTGATTATCATGAAACTTTTAGCCCTATGGCTAAACAACCTACTATTCGTGTGTTTCTTAGTGTTGCTCTTCACTTCAACTGGTCCATTAAGCAACTGGACATCTCCAATGCCTTTCTTCATGGCATTCTTGAAGAAGAGGTGTTTATGGACCAGCCCCCTGGTTTTGTTGATTCGACTTATCCTTCCCATGTGTGTAAATTGCAAAAAGCTCTCTATGGTCTTAAGCAGGCTCCTCGTGCCTGGTACTCCACTTTTTCCTCCTTTTTACTCACTTCTGGTTTTGTTAACAGTCGTTGTGATTCATCCTTATTCATTTATCACTCTTCTTCTTCCATCATTCTCCTGTTGGTATATGTGGATGACATTCTTCTTACTGGGAGTGACTCTGCTCAAATTGCTCAGCTTATTACTCATATGCATTCTCAGTTTTCCATGAAGGAACTGGGTTTCATCTCTTATTTTCTTGGTATATCTGTGTTACCTACTTCAGATGGTCTGTTTTTGTCTCAACACAAATATGCCTCTGAACTCCTTGCCAAAGCTGGCATGACTAACTGTAAGTCTTCTTCTTCTCCCATGGCTACTAAACCTTCCTCTTCGCTTGATGTTTCCACTCCCTTTGCTCAGCCTGCTTTATATCGTAGCTTGGTGGGTGGTTTACAATATCTGACTATCACCAGACCTGACATTGCCTTTGTTGTTAATCTTGCGTGTCAATTTATGCATGCTCCCACTGTGGCTCACTTTAACCTTGTCAAGCGGCTTCTTCGTTTTCTTCGTGGTACTCTGCATTTTGGCCTTGTCTTTACTGCTGGTTCTTTGGATCTTCATGCTTTTTCGGATGCTGATTGGGCTGGTAGTGTGCCTAATCGCAAATCCACCACTGGATATTGTGTTTTTCTTGGTTCCAATCTGGTCTCATGGGTTGCCAAGAAACAGAACACTGTTTCTCGTTCTTCCACTGAAGCCGAATATCGTGCACTTGCTCAGGCTGCTTCTGAATTGACTTGGCTTCAAATGCTTCTTACTGAGTTACATCTCCCTTCTGCTGTGCCTATGCTTTGGTGCGATAATCTCTCCGCCATCAGCTTGGCCTCCAATCTTGTCTTTCATGCCCGCACAAAACATATTGCTGTGGATTATCATTATGTGCGTGAAAAACGACGTCGTTTTGGGGGGCTGCTGGGAAGGGCTGCCGGGTAGGGCGGCCGGGGATCCGGACTCGTGTTAAGAGTTTGTTGATTTTAGAGAGTGAATTGTGGTACAATAGATATGTTAAAGTGCGTGTTAAAATATGTGTTAAGAATATATATATTTCTATACTATTATTAAAAGCCAGGAACTTTGGTGTCCTGAAGCTTCTCTTACAATTTTTTTTTTTCATTTTTCCTAAAATGGCCATAACTTCTTAAATAACTATATTATTTTTACACTAATATCAATTTGTAGTTACGAATAATATGATAAATTCAAACCAACCAATTCCACCACCCCCACGCTTCCAAACTGCACAACAGTTCTAAATCAGTTTCAACATCTTCGCATTCTGTTTTGAATGATTGAAACCTCGGGAGAGAGAGATATATTTGTAACTGTTAGTAGTTATAAAGTTAGATATAGGATAGTTACATAACTAATTGAATATTGTGTATAAATAGTGAACTCTGTACTTGAGAAAGATTTAAGAGAGATATTTTTCATTTCATATACAAATTCCTCAAGAGAGAGAGATCAGATTTGGTGAAACAGAGATTGGAGAATGAAAGGCTTCATCAACAATGGAGATTTCATAAAATCATCAACATTCCTAAATATCTCAGGTCTTATTTTCATATCATTCGCTTTCTGGTTGGGTATTGAATTAGAAACATTAAAAAGAATTGTGTAGATTTTTTATATATATTATCTTTGTGAGTATATTTTTATTTTATTTGAGATAATGCAGAAGTATATGAGAACGTATGTATATATATCATATTAAATTCAGGAAAAAAAATTATGCAATCGAATATATAAATTAAAAAAAAAAAACAAATTGAGTGCCCAAGTGAGTTTCCGAATGAGTTTGCACACGTATCGCGTGTGCCCAGTCGCTAGTGTATATATATATATATAATAAATAAAATAAATAAATAAGTTCCATGAAAGGGGCTCTCTCTCTTTCTCCCTC